TGTGCAATGGCTGAGCGTTTCGTATATGATAGCTCTAGATTTAATTTAACTCTTTGTTATTTTAAAGGGCTGGCGTTGACTGGCTTCGTTACATATGGTTTCAATCGATGCACGTGTGTTGATACTGGCGTTCTCTTACCAAATCCGTTTAAATGACTTAATTTCCAATAGCCAGTACGTGGTGATCAAAGGGCCATAAAATAACTTCCAGAACGTTCAATGTCAAATTATATAAAAAGGTGGCATGAACACCACACCTAATTAAAATATTAGAGATTTCAGGTGTTCTGATTTTGTCTTTGCGTGTCTTAAACGCATTCATATATTTATTCAGCGTCAAAACATTTTTGTGCGGCAATAAAAATTGATAAGAGTATTGCATAAATTCTACATATGTAGTATTCAGTTGTGTTCATTCCGTCTTTAATTATACACCTCAGGATCGTCCATGAAAGTACGAATTATCTGTATATCGTAGTTTTTTATTGTATTCACTCCGGTGTAATGAAATCTATTTTCCAAGGTAAATCAGTTATAGATTTGGGCTCTTATCCCTTATCGTGTTCTTCGTAATGGGATGAGTGAAGGAATTATATGTCGGGGAGATATTATACCTCCTGCCGCGAACCTGACATGAATGATCCTTTGAATAACTATATGTCCCTCTATACTCTAAAAGACGTGCACAGATTGTGTTGAGAAATTGAGGTAGGCAATACTTGTTACAGGTTGCATAGAATTATACAGTTCAAATAGTAATTAATACATTAAATGTCATGGTTAAAATTAATATTACTTTTCTATTTGATCTGTGTAGAGTCTAATTGTATAAAAACAATAATGCATCAAAAAATATTTTGGGACTTAATCTCGTAAATAGATTTTAATCGTTTAATATTATGTGACCAAGTGTTGTAAAATAATGTACGTGTATTGTATGTGAAGTTTTAATCGTGGTTTGTCGATACAACCGGTTTTGATGGTATACTGGTTATCCCAAGTTCTGATCCCAAGTTCGCGGCTTCAAACTCGGTCAAAGTCAGGGGATTTTTGGGGTGCCAAAAGTCGATGGCATGCATGCAAACTCTTGCCGGCATATAAAATACATCTCAGGAAAGGCACTTGGCCTAGATTAAACCTTCTGTTTAATTTTAATTTTAATATTAATTAAAATTGAATCCTCTAATAGCACTAATGAGAGTTTCGATTTGAATTAACTGGATACGATTGCGGATATTGTATCTTGGCCTGCACTATCTGGTATTCAAATCAAGCGTCAAAATTGCGCACTACTTGCGTCCCTAAGGAAAGCAATGGCAAACTACCCTAGAATGAAATAATTATATAAGTCATCATTGCCAACAATATTGTTTTTACAAGAGAAGCTTTCGATGGCTTAGCCATCATCATTAGTTTTCTGCTGTATGGATGCCACAAAAAGACTACTGCTCGAAAGCTGCTCTTGTAAAAAACAATAATGTTGGCAATGACGACTTATATAATTAATTCATTGTAAATGTCAACGAAAACTGGCCACAATACCAATAAAGTACCCTAGGTATACTTGAGCAGGATAAGTGTCACAAAAAGGCGCTAGGGGCTTCTAGAGACTAGCCTACGCACTAATTAGTGTATGGCATTAAAAGAAGACGAAAGCTATTGATACTGTCCCCTGATTAATATAATTACGTCGAATGTTATAGTTATGGGAATCGGTGTTTGCCTGAAATATATTCCCATCCTTCAGTAAGTAATTTTATACAAAAAATACTGATTCGTAAGTCAAGGTAATGGTAAAATTCCTAGCTTTATAGAGGTTTATAAGAATCACATTGTTGGCATTTTCTTATTATTCGTACAATTCTTTCTTGTAATGTAAAAGTCTGGGTGCTATAAGATGTGTTTCCCCAGAATATTATGCCATATCTCAGGCGGGAATGAACATTCGCGAAATGTACACTAGCAGTATGAAGGCTGACTGAATTTGCAAGAATTCTGGACGATTAGCATAATGCATTTAATTTTGTGTTCAATTTATTTAAATGTTTCATCTCTGCCATATACTTTACTTGTTCTGTAGTAATGACATTCTGAGGAAATTGTTCAATTGCAACGCAAAACAATGAATAATCATCTCGAAAATTAAATGAATTAACGGAGGTGGTTTTAGAAAAACTTGGTATATACTATATCTTGTGCATATTTTAACACTGCCCATAACACCTTGCCTACATTTCAATATTGAAATTAGAATTGATGGAATGACACTGACGTCTACTTCAACGGGAACTTTCTATTTAATTCTCGTGCAATTACCTTTTTAAAAGCACCTTCTCTTCTCTGAAGTTCTCGCGTGAATGATCAGTTATGTCCTTTGAGGAGTTTTGTCACTTTAGTAGCTAATTTGACTTAGTTGTTACTATATCTTAAATATACGTTTGGTATTTTGATCAAATAATTCATATAACTCTGGATAATGCAGTTGTCATAAAAATTACTAAATTGTAAACGGTAACATTAGCTGGTTCGTAGCTGACACTTATTCCAAAATATACGTCTTATGCTAACGAAGGAGTTATACTTGTTGCTTCGAGTCTCTTGTGACTCGTTTCAGTTTCTAGTTGTGTGAATGAACACTAATATAACGAGGTATGCGCATTGAATTACTAACAAGCACAAGAGTCTGCATGGTCGCATTTCAAACTACTCTTTGGTATTTCCTTTACCAAAAATGCTAGGGAGGAGAACTCGGATGTCAAAGGGTTGTACATTTTCCTTTCGCGTTCATTTTCCTTGTATCAGAACCCTTTCAATTTGCTTTTCTCTTGTGTAGGGAGTAACTTTCTGACGCACCGAAATATCTTAGAACTGACATTTTCTGCATTTTTGCCGCTCTAATTCCAGTTAGTTTCCAATGTGAGAAGTACTACCAAATCACAAATATTACTATTCTCTCATGAGTAAATAATTGAATCAAAATGCATCCTGTGAAAGTTACAGTTGAAATAGTTCAGAATAATAGTGTACGATTTGCGTGTTTTATTTTGTTTTGTTTAGTAAAGTAACGCACCATGTAAACTAAAATTGGAATTGGAAAGTAAGAATAGGCTTTTAAAAGAATATTATGAAGTGTAATCTACTTGCTACGGTGAAAATTACTCATGTTGGAAATCTTTCGTGATTCAGAAAAGAACGCTGCTATAAAATTCCCAGCGCGTAGCAGCTGATAATTGTAACATTTTTGGGAGTTAACAGTTTCTCATTTTCATCATTGAAAAGTCATCACATAATTTCCCGAAAGTATGTTTATTTAGTATATTAATGGGAAAATATGCCTTACTCTATGCTCTATGCTCCGTGGCAATTTCTAACTTTTATTTATTTATCGTCAAAAACTATAGAGTAAACAGCTGGGGGAGTGCAATATTCACCTGTTTATTGAGGATAAACAAAACGAAAGAAGGATCGTGTGTATGTAAGGAATTAAACGAGAGTTTTGTTTCCGTGAACATTCGAAAAAACACATACACTCATATCAAATGCTTGGATAATATTTTAGTTATTGATTGTTTGGTTACATTTGCAGATCATACCGGTCTAATTTGAAGTTGCAGTTCTCTGGGTAGGAAGTCTAGATAATTTCGAAAGAGCCGCCCTCAAAGTATGTCGGAGTGTGTCGGAAAACACCGTATAATTACGTCATCTGGACGTTTCGTGTTGAATTTTTGAAATTGGAATTAAACGTCTTGTACGACAGTATTGTTTTCAATAATGTGTAGAACTAGGTGTAATACGTGTTATCTTTTATTTTGTAAACGACCGTGTAAATGTAGATGTAGTGAAAGTTTGATTGTAATTGGTTGTTTCTGGTTTGTTTGCAGGATACCATGTGGGAGTGCAGCGTGTGTGAGCGTGCAGTCGAGCGTTTGCAAGCCACCTGCGGTCCGGATCGTCATGACGCGCAACCTCGGCACTTGGAGCTCTGGCAGTGATACGAGCA